TATATATGTATTAACACATGGATGAACTGCAGTCCCGGGAGGGGTGTTGCGGAAATCTCTCATGTATAGCACAGATGTACAATTCTAAGTCGGAGATTTACATCTGCTTTTCTATAGGCGTTTTCTGTTCCAAATAGGCTACTTTTATGGGGGTCCCTTCGTTTAGCAGTATTCGAGCGAAAAATATTAACGACAGGGTGATGGTGGGTGGTTGTGATTGTAGAGTTGAGGGCAAAACTTCGTCCTCAGACAGGAATGGTGGCGACAACTATCCCTCCTTTGCCTGCTGACTGCAATCTATAAACTGATGCTTGATAAAGGACAGCAACCAAGCAAGCAGGGTTTCGGAGAGGGCCTGTATAGCCAATAATATCCACGTTGACCCGTACTTGTGCCAGCCGGGTATCGTGCTTTTCATCGCTTGCATTAGAGAGACTCTGTTTGCCCCGCCTTTTTGAAGTCTTTTGTGTGGTAGTTTATCAGCAATCATACCTACAACAAGGAGAGCCGGTGAGCCAATTTCAGCATCAAACCTTTAAGACGTGAGCTGAGACTTTCGGTTACTGTGCCGTAAAAACATCAATTAACTAAACGTCAAGTCAAAGCAAATTTGTGACTGCTCCACAGTTTACCCCTCATAATCTATCCTTCATCTTCAAATTTTAGCGTCACGGCCAATGGGGCCTCGTTCATGTTTTACTGGATGCAGCGATGTTGTTTTCAATGTGCTAAAAGAATACGCTTCCGATAAAAAGACTTCCTTGCCTCTACGCTTCACTCGAAAATCACAAATTTGAAGAAAGTGGTAGTGTAATTAGGAGGACGTGTCCTTCATTCAGTCTTTTTTTATTGCAGCTTCGTGTACGCGCTCCCCTTCGTGCACGCTTGGAAGATCGAGGTGACTCACACCTCATCGTCGTTTCTGGTTGGCCTATTAATCCAATTAATCTTACTATTGAATGGAGTGGTGAAACGGAAACACGGAATCTTTCTGATGAAAAGACGGTCACCTTTTTCAACAACCTTGTTGTGCGTCCTGACACGGGGTGCGCTTCTCAGATTTCGGCGATTCCTTAAGATGAAGATGATTTCTTCAATCAATGTTGCAGGCAATCACTTTTTTATCGGCGAGTTTTCTCTGTATTCGCTCTCGCATGTTCGACTTGTCCTGTTGATCATCCAACTGGCAATTATTCCCTCTATATTTGTTCCACTTATAACTGCTATCGGCTTCATAATTACATCCAACATGTTGGAAATCATGTGAGATGACGTTTTATGTCATATTTTGAAAAAATGCACCACCCTGCTCAACGTTAATAATTATATACACTGCGGTTCATTGGTAAGTAGATTTCGTGCTTACGTCTTCGTTCGCACCGCGGTATATCACGGTTGCATTGTGAAATAATTGAACACTCAGTTATATGTACATATGTGCTATCCTTTTAAATCCTTCTATTAGCCTATCTCGCCGACCATCTTCAAAAGGAGATAAACCGTCCATCGGTACTGATTTAGGATTGTTGTGAGATTAAGCTAATTATATGCTCAATTGTATCTGAGCCTCAGGTACACGCCCAGCGTGCTCAAGACTTCTTCCATAGTCAAGGCTCGTGCAGAAAGTTCTTTGTCATTTTTATTGCTGTCTCAATCGTTCCTCATACCGAATCCTAGTACAAGGTCCCAAAATTATGGGCGCCAATTCATGGCAATATATTTAAAGCTTCTAGACTGTGAATGACTGTGGGCGTTGTTTATATGCACGTTTGCCACACTATGTGCCACAACATCTACAAACACCTTTCAAGATATCCCCATGAGCACTTATAGAGGTCCAAATGTTTTTCACGAACTCCTCACGGGTTTCCTCCTCCATTTCTTCCCAGCCGTTCTCGAGTCTTGCTTTCTAAGACTCCAAACTGGGATTGCAAACCCGACAGGTCGTTTTTTAAACGCGCACTATGCGGAGAAGTCACGTAAGGTATGATCTGGAAAGCAGAATGGTCATTCCTCTTCCCTAATGAAGTCGGGCAGCTAGCGTTGGCACTCCCGGGTGAGCTTGGCTTTGAGCTAGAGTGCGTCATGTCGGGGAGTTGTTTAAAGAAGCAGAGTCGGATCACTGCTTCATTGCGTCCATCAGGGTGCTCTTTGAGTTCGGGTCTTCGACAATTCTCACGCTGGCACCAACAAATCACGAGCGTCTTTCCGTTGCCAGTGACTCTCCCAATAAACATCATTTTACTGTTTTTACAGCAACTTCTTTGCAAAAGCTTGCACCTTCGATGTTTATAGCCAGAACGTGATCGTTTTATTTATATAATGGTCAGACTCTACCCAATGGTCAGAACGTAAAAAATTCTTAGACAAAGAAAACGATGAAGGGTTGCGGGACTCTACCCAGGTGAGCTAGCAACTTTCTGCATTTCTTAGCCCTACACTGTCTGCTGCGGTAGGAATTGAAGCGAAATTTCTGCAAACAATAGAAACGGCAGTGAAGTTTTTGATTGACAAAGACAATCCGCCCCACCAACATCTTCTATAAATCCTGCTACTTTGCTGTCCTTGCTAAATTATTTTTACCCTAGAAGTTTCTAAATTTTGGGACACGCTGTACTGTCCTCGAGGCAGCGAGAAAGCGAAGGCTCTCCACAAATCTGCAACTATCAGTGTCATACCATCGCGTATCAAGAAATCGTGAAGGGGATAAGCAAGTGACTTCTTCTGAAGAAATCGTTTTTCAGGAGACGAAGACCAAAGAAACTGTTATCAGGACCACCAACCAAAACCACCTACTCGTTTTGGTTGCAAGAGGTTTCGACGGCGCAGGATATCTAGCCCGCCATCGGATCAATCTGCTCTACTAAAGCGGAGAACATTCCACTGAACAGCCGTTCTCCGCTTACAGATCGACAAGCGCTCCACTATCAGCAATGAAGGCACAGTTCGTGTCCCAAGGTGGACGAGGTGTTCAGGGTTGTAGAAATTTGAAAAGTTGCACGACTCTCACCGAGATCCACACCTTGCTTGCAAGCAGCTCAGTGCCTCCTCCCACCTCCTCCCGCACGACTGGGATGGTCGTTGCTTAGTACAGTACGGCAGAACGCACAGGACTTGTCACAAGACTACGACTTGCTCACAGAAGGACTTCTACACAGTGCAGCGCCATCGGCTCTGTTGGCAAGAATGAACTCGAAGAGTAGGATCAATGACGAGGCTTGCAACTACTCGAACAACGGGCTGCCTTATGCCATTTCCGCCATTCCTTTGTTTTATCGGCTATGCGAAGCATACGACAATACAGAGCCATTTTCTATTATCTGTAACGCACAACGCTTCGCAGACCCGAGTCATGCTATATCAACTTGTTGAAGTAATGCAACACAGACATATTTACCACCACCGGCTTGTTCCAACAAGAGCTCCGCGTGCCGATTAAAAAGGAGTCAGACACGAGGAGAGGGTGACTCGATTCTACCGAGCTATTCCCATCGCTTTGAATACGCGATGCTACAACTTGACTAGAACAATAGGAGCATAATCATCGACACCAAGCAGCCATCCAACTTGCGCTAGGCAGGCAAAACCGTCATCATCAGTCTAACCCGAAAGGAGCTACAGCATGGTGGATTGCTTGGACAACGTCGGCCACCGCTCTCACAGTGAACTGGAGCAGAAGACAATAGCCACCAGTTGGGTTCCGCACACTAATGCGTGCTTCACAACAAAAACTCGTCAAACAGGGATGAATTCCCGAATCTGAACTCCAGCCCTCGAGAATCCGCTCATGCTTTTGAGGGCTGGGGTTCGAACTCAAAAACTCGCTGCGGATGAATTTCCTTTGTCTGATTTGTTGACCTATTCCCGACCCTGGTGCATTTTTCTCGATGTGTGGGTTTGGCAAAATTATGAAGTTTTTCCCATTGTGCGTACCGGTAAATGCCTCCTTGTGAGCGGTGTTCCTGTGTGCTTATCTGATTTCGCCCGTTGTGCGAGCGATCCCGGAAATGACCTGACATCTTCACATTTGACATCGAATTCTGGGAGACAGAAACGAATTCTTCATATACAGGGTGCGCCATAAGCATGGTAACAACTATTCGGACGACCATAATTTCCTCGTTCGAAGATTTCCCCAAGTCTCCACCTTCCGTTATGTTTATGATACACCTTAGCCCACATATCTACTTTGTTGCTCTCAATTTGTCGAATGTCGAAAAACAATGGGGCCTCGCAGACATCCACCAACCGTTCCTTCTTTGCGCGCATTTGGTAAGTCCTTTTCCGAAATCGCTCCTTATTTCAACGTTTCCCACGTGACATTCTCTTGGGTCGCGATGCACAGACAGCTCAACAACAAACCTCAAAACGTTTGTCTTGTCTCGCATACGACCCCTTTTCCGAATGGAAGCGCTTGGAAAGTATTACGCTACAGAACCTGCAGAGACATGAGAAAGATGAGTGCTGATTTGATTGTATGTTCTACATCGATGAGAACGGTTTACTCCGAATAAACAGACTTGTACCCAGATAGGATTCGGGAGCCTTAAAAACTTCTTGAAGTGAAGAAGTTGCAGAGAAGAAACAAATGCCGAGCGCTATTTGCGCGCAGCACGTACTTTGCCACACTTGTTTTTTACTGAAAGGTGTTCAGCGTGGAAGAAATGTTGGGACCCCAGAGTGTACGTATATTTTGCGTTGTGTAAGCTGAAGACGCTAAGGAGAGTCAGATCGCCTCTCGTAGCCGTTTTCCCTCTTTCATGATGGTTTGTGCTAGAATCTCTACCATCTCCACTATATCGCAAATATTAGACAAGAAAAGCATAAAACCTCATCCGAACCTTTTTAGGGAGGGTCTTTCTGAAAGGATGCGCCTAAGGGTCAAAAATTTTCTCTAGACACACGATTTGAAAAGTATGGCGCACTTGCTCACGAATGGGAAAAGATTAAGACTGGTGCTAAGGAAATGTTCGCGATATATCCCAGCTACAATAATCCTACGGATTTCCAAGACCACAATGTTATGGGTCCATACTGGAGAGGAAGGCCCGCGCTCCAAAACGCACCACTGCTGCTGCTCTTGAGAAATCACTGACAAAATCCCGGGCTGGAGCTTCTCAAGGAACTCTGCGTGCCGCCTTCGATGAGTAGGTGAAGCGTCTTCGAGCTATAATTAGTGAAGGAAACGGTTATATAAGATCAGTTCGTGTTCGTTGCGTAGATGCGATGCATAGTAACTAAGTCACATGGGTTCACCATTTATTAATAAGATCTGCGGTTTCTGCAGCCCAATTCTTTTGTTACCAGATTTATGGCGCACCCTGTAAGTGATAACCTCGTAGGTAATGGCTAGTCATGATGTCTTCGTACATAGAACGATTTTGGTATATCGAGGACGTCTTCGAACAGGGTTTCGGATATTTGGTCTCAACTCCGTCTCCAGTGCAAGCCCACATCTAAAATATGGCCACATTACTCCTACCGCCTCTAACCACCTTTTTCCACGTTTTAGAACGTTTTCGAACAGAGGTATACATTTTTTGAAGTGAACTTACCATTTGAATGTAGGCCCCGCCCATCGTGGAAGGGGCTTTGACATGTTTACGTGTGCCCAGCACGCATAAGCCTTTCTTACCACTACTTTTTTTCTAGCCTCCATGCTTTCGTTTCCTTCGGTTGGCTTGTTGTCTCAGCCCTCACCTTGGCTCATTTTGCTCCGGCGTCCGAGCTATTATGAATTCTGATTCAAAAGTCTTGCCTAAGACACCGCCCATTTCTGTGCATGTCCCACCCCCGTGGACGGTGCTACTCCGACTCGCGTGTGCTCTATTGGTCTCACAGTATGTGCAACCAAACTTTACCTAACTTCGACATGTGCTTCTTCAGGAAGTATTTTGAAAAAAAAATAAGGTATTCCCATACAAGCAAACAAACAACAAACAATCAGTCAGACAGGCGCGAGCGCCTTATATATAGGGAACCATCGAAGAGGTGCCTCAACTCGTATCGGACAATAAGTTGCTAGTTGGCCTATTCGGTTCTACGGTATTGCTCGCACTCGGCTACGTATCCGAGACGTGGTTGGAAACAAGACGTCTACGCTAATGATGACTCCTTCACAGAGAGCGCCAGAGCGAGCATTGTTAAATATTAACCACAGAGATCATAGAATGCAGCTTACGCAGCACAGACATGTCAGTCGAAGTCCGGCCGACGTGCCTGTGCTGCGAGACTACAGTTTGTACATGGAATGCAAAGAAACGATGGGACGGACTCGTGGTAAGAAACTGGGTGATCGGTGGATCACTCGAATCACATTCTGGTATAGCGTGATGTAAAGACTCCTAAAATGTAATTTCAAAAAGTCGTGGGCCAAAACTGTGTCCAAATTACTCAGGATCGGCAAAGATGGAAGGAACTGCCTGCTCGCAACTGATGATTCTTGAAATACACTGAGCGTTCAAGCATCCAATTATCCAACGATCTTAAACATGATTAATGCTTCGCAATCAGTAATTCGGGGGTGCAGATATTATCATGCTTAAGTACGTTAGCAGCACTTGAGCTTTCGAATCAACGCGGTTTTGGATCATGAAAACATTGTAACCAAATTATGTTGTAAAAATTGATCACAACTAAACAGCGAAATATTTACGAACCTTGACCGACATTTTTAGACAAAGTTATGGACGGAGAGCTTTGCTGAGTGGCCGTCGCTGACACCAGTGGCACTATTTTTTCTTCTAATGCCCATATTTACGATGCTCCTCCTGCGAGCAAGGGTTATGCGAAGCTGTCGTGCCAAGGTATGCTGATTCAGACTTTTTCAAAAGTCGAGTATAACTTTGAACTTTGTAACAAATGCTCACATTCACAGTTATAGGTATTTGACTGAGCCCTCACCCCTCTAAGAATGTGATTGCGTTGACTTTTTTTCTCATAGATGTACGAAATTATTTCGAATGGCTCCGTAGTGACTTCATTCAAACACCGCCGCAAGTCGTTCCAATGACGTAATGCAATCAAGCAAGGAGGAGCTTCTGTCCAGTCTTTTTCGTCGCAATTCATTAGTACTACGGTGAAGACCAAGCATTTCAAGAAATCTTTTTTGGTTTTTTCTTCTTCTATTAGCTGTTCTGAGGGTAATGCATCCTTCTTCTTCTTCTTCCTCTTCTTCTCTCTTCTTCTTTCTTCTTTCTTCTTTCTTCTTTCTTCTTTCTTCTTTCTTCTTTCTTCTTTCT